TATTCAGAAGTATACATCTTTAATGGGAACCACTGGTAACCAGACTTCTTTTAAATATTTTTGGTTCTAGGTAGTAAACACATGGGGACACACTGGTGTTATAACAGTTCTTTTAAAATGCAAAACTTAGATATTAAAATTCAGATTTTGGGTAATTAAAATCATTTTCACTCTTAAAAATGTAGCACATCATTCATAATAAAGTAGGCTTTATTATTAATAAACMGACTTCCTTCAAGTCTTATTTTATATTTTAGTTTTTTTTTCTTTAAATAGCCAGTGCTACCAAAAAATCCCCAAAGGAACTTAAACCTCAAGGATAAAGAATCAGGAAGAATAAACTTCTATTTTGTTGGCTTATAATAGTTTTCCTCCAATACCAAAGCCGGTCATATGTTCCATAAAGAGAAAAGGTACACAGCTGCTCATCCAAAGTACAGATTCTTTTATGTCTCAAGGGGGTAAAGATTTCACTGTCAAGCCCACCAGAGTTTGTGCCACTCTGAGAGAACTATACAGTTGTATGAGATTGGAAAATAAACTCAGAGTTTCAAAAATTTGGTTTGGTTCTCCTAAAAATACAGGCCCATGACTAGTATGCAAGGAGCAGCAGAGGTACAGGCACATTTGAATGCAATTTAAATACCACCACTGTCCTCTCCAGGAGCCCTGGGTTTGCTTATGAAAGGCACACTGGCAGCCCTGGAGCATCAGCTCTCAGCTCAGAAGGACGTCCCATCTGTCTACCAGTCTGGCTATGAAGGGCAGAAGGGGAAGGTCAAGGGCAATACCTGCCAGTGGGGGACCGGCTCCCCGGTCTCCCTGCAAAGGAGCCTGTGCTGGCCCCGGGGGGCTCGGGCCTCTGTAGCTGTCAGCCTCCCATAATGTTTGGTACCCAGCAATTTCAGCAGCTCCTTCCGAGACAATGGGCTCGCAGAATCTATTCATGGACAGAACCAGAGTCATCTCTGACAGCCTCAGATCTGGAAAAAGAAAAAGAGAAAACAGCCCTAATCAAGACCAAGCTAAGGGACAGCCTTGGCATCTTCATGCCTTTGCTTTGGGAAACTTTTACTTCCCAGTCCTCCCCTTCACCCTGAACCATTTGATTATTTTCCCAAGAAAACCTCAGCAAACTCCTGCTATTAGCTCAGCCTCTGTGTTCAGCAATCTGCATCTCAGGGGCGGATCTTTAAAAGCCCATTTCTTATTGTTCTCAGATTCCCTTCAGCCCTCTTCCAGACAGCTGCTTTGCCTCCTAAACACATTTTCCTCCTGACCTTCCCTCAGAAAATGTTCCACTAAGAGGCAGGGCCAAAACCCTTGCGCTTCCTTTCTATTAATAAGGCAAAATCAATTTTCTAGTCAATCCCCCGGGAGTCTCCTTTGATGAAACCCGCTAATCAATCAAAAGGAAAGGGCGGGGGAGGCAGAAATCTCCACCATAATCCCAATTGATACTCTGAGGTTCAGTCTGTTCCGCGGCCCCCTGTCCCCTCCTCCTCGCTTCCACAGGCCAGTTCCTCTACAACRTTCTGGGGGCTCCCTCCACTTTCTCCTTCCAAAGCGAAGCAGACAGAGAGACACTTGGTAGTTGTTTCCACCAGCCCTGATCCGCCTGAACTGGATCTGCCTCCAGTCAAAACACTGTGAGATGAAGACAGAAAATTGGCTCCAGTTTCCAGCCGTGAGTTGCAGTCCCACAGGAGCCAAGCACAACATCAACGGAGCAGGCAGAATATTAAACAGCAGCCAGGGCTCAGGGGCCAGAGGCAGCCAGCAACTCCTTACACAGCAAAGCCCAGACACAAGGCAGGAACTTTCCAAGAGGCAACACATCACTGCCCTCCTCTCCAGGTCACGCCCTTCCCTGGAGACTGCAGGAAGATGGGAATATCTTTGATGGTGATGTTCCCTGGGCTCCTCCATAATTCATGCATGGGGCCACTTCCATGGGGACTCCATGTTTTCACTTGATCCAAAGAAGGGTTCAAGGTAGGGTCAAGGATAAGTTGAAACAAGAACGAGAAGAGAGTCTGATATTAAAACAGAAAGATCTTGGGGCCGTAGACCAGTGGTGACAGCCCCGAAGCCTCAATGCCTTGTTAACTGCCAATTCCTTTAGGAGACCCAAACCTCCACTCTCTCATTCTGCGGTTTAAAGAACTGTCACAAAAGTGATGTCAGGCTTGCTTTCTGAAGATTGATTGTCTTTCAAATATACACTAAGGGTCTCGTTCTTTCTTTCTTTTCCAAATTATACAGCTTGTAATGTTTGGAGGTGGGTGTGAATCTGTCATTGTCTCGAGGGAGACCATTACTCCCTCATGCTATAACGAAGGTCCACTTCCAGGTAAAAGAATGAAAAGCTTCAGGGTAAGGGGAAATAGCTTCATTAAAGTGACAAAGTCCTCTGGCTAACAGAGCAGCTCTTGGCAGCAGTGCCTGTCTTTCATCAGGCTTCTCTCTCAGTTCTCAGTCAGTCCCAAACCCACTGAAGACAGAGAAGGTGTCCAGGTCATTGGGCGGAATTAGTACTCAGCTGATTTAGGCTGCTAAACCTGACCTCCCCTTTCTTTCAAGATGCCCTCCAGAGAGACATCCACAAGGACTTATAAGAGAACTTTGTTACAAGAGGGGGAGAGAAAAGAGGTTTGAACAATTATGAAGAAATAATGGATATGCCATTTATTTTTTTTTCTGTTTGAATCATCAACCAAGAAATTTAGCCTCTGTTGATTTAACAAACTAAGCCACTCTGTCCATCACTTCTCAAACTCCACAAGCAGGCAAGGTATCAAACCTCAGGATACTTTATGCCCTGGAAAACTCTCATGAAATGATCCAATTTCTTAAACTATTCTAAGAGACGATCATATCAGGAAATGCTATTGCTAGAAGCACACAAATCATAGCTTTTTATCAGAATCAGCAGGCTTCTCTTTATTGACAAGAATGATATTTTCCAGCTTGAATTTTACACTCACTTTTGTGCTGGATTCTGGGGAAAACATCCAAGCCTTTCGCCTGGCAGAACTTTTATTACAAATAAACAAAAGCAGGTTGACAAACTCAACCCGCTTAAGAAAGAAAAGCATTTGCAGGCCCCCAGTAGCAATTACCTTTGTTTAATAGGATGTTCCTGGGCCCTGTGCTGTTTTATGTTAGTCAGAGTTTGTTTGTATTATAATGGTGAGTAGCTTTTTTGGTTGTTAAGAATTTCAGTGTTTCTATTTGTTAGTATTGTTTCCAGCATATGAAATTTCATCATTTTGCATTTGAACTTGAAATGTGGCATAATAGTTTTTATTTTGGTTGTTTCTTTTGTTTACAACATCTAATTTCAGTTAAGTTTTTCCTTTTTGAATTGGAAACTGTTGCACACAAAATTCTAAATGAAAGAGGCTGGGTTCTGCAAGTGATTTATGTAAATCTGAATAAAACATGAATGAGTTGGGATTATTTGGGAGCAGGGAGGAGATTTTGCAATTGCATCTTCCTAGCCTACTTAGAACTTACACTGGGAAATTAACAAATTAAGAAGGAAAGTTTTAATGTTCATGAAACACTGGACTGTATAGCATCAACATCAACGTTTAACATGCATCTTTATTTGTAGTATTTGTAGACAGCCAAGCTCATTATTCTCAGAATGATGAGATTTACATTACAATTCTGCTACAGAATTCAGAAGTTCAAGTCCACAAATTCATGTGCTGTTAATATTCAATATAGCCACAAAGATGTACACTATGGCAAATTTTTTAACATCAAAAGTGAACAGATTCAAAAGGAGGGTGTTAAAGTGTGTTTTATCTGTGCATGCATTTAAAAAATAAAAAAAGCCCTAGCCCTTTATCCTCAGGCTACTGTGTGTCTGTTTTGTTACCCAAGGGGATGTAGTGGAATGACCCCCTCAAGCATACTCAGAAGGCTGAGGGTTAAAATGTCAAGCCGTCCTAGCAAATGTTCATAGTAAAGTTACCAGGCATTTCAATACAATTTGGCGTTTCCAGATGAGCAGTGCTTGCTCCTTCCTTCATTATAATGCTAATAGGAGTGGCTGGCACACAGAACAGGAGGGTAGCTATGATTCAGTGGCACCTTGAATCTAACAGAGGGCTCCTGGTCATGTTTTGCCCATCCCTCCTCCCATCTGTCATTAGAAATCAGAAAACATTTTATTGAGAGCATTGTAGCAGTGACAGGACTGATTCCAATGCTGGAAGCCGGGAGGTAAAGGGCAGGTATTTCCAACTCACTCTTGACACTGCCAGTCTTAAATATTCTGCCCAGGTGGAATCAAGCCCCTGACCTGGACATTGTCCCTAACAAGCTCTCAACACCTTGGCTGGCTCATGGTGGTGGTTGTGGAAGAGGCTGGATAGGCAGAACAAAATCTTCCAACCTTTCTAAACAGACAGCTGTCTCTTTTCTGCTGGTCCCTGCAGTACACCTGTCTTCCCCGGGAAGTCCATTTCTCAGCTGTTATCCTGCGAGGCCAACAGCTTAAGTTGGGTCTTGGGGCTGGGAATGCGGGCGCTGCTCCTAAGGAGGTTGAGGGGTTCCCTGGGTGATAGCCCAAAGAGGGGGGGTCTGGGGTTTGGCGGGCCAATCCCCTACCAGCGGGTGGCAGCCACCACTCCTGGTTTCCGCACAACCACACCCCCCGGGGATTGGCGCCCAGGCCCCTAAATCTCTCTCCTGGGTAGCGGTCAGAGCCCGGCCAGTTGCTGACCGCAGGAGAAAGTAAACACCCCAAGTGTCTGGGAACAAAGGCAAGTTGTCTTTCCACGGTGCAGGAGCCCAGTGCCTCTTCTGAAGAATAAGAGCTATTATTATTCATTCTTTCTTTCAAAACCAAGTTTCCTTCTAAGGGAAATAAACACCGAAGGTAGGATTCCAAGGAAATGACTCACGGCGGCTGGCAGGGCTCTGGCTAGGCTGGCCCGAGCCCCGCGCTCCTGCCCGCAGCAGATGCCTGCGGGGCCCTCCCGCCCTCACGGCCCATGCCGGCTCAGAGCAGGCGACTGCGGGAGCGCCCGGAGCGCTGGTGGGACCCGCCGGCGAGCACCGGGCCTGAGCCTCCTTGGACCTGGGGTCCGCCTCTCCCCCCAACATCTGTGGCCGCAGCCGGGCACTTGGGAAAGTTGCTAAGGCCGAGGAGGCGGGAGGAGAGAAAGCGAGGAGAGAGGCGGAGGCGTGGACCCGGCGGGCAGCAGCCTCAGCCCGCTGGGGAGGTGAGCTGAGGACAGAGGAGCCGCCGCCGCCCGCAGCGCGGCTCGGCTGCTGGGGAGGAGGGTGCGGGGGCGGAGGTGGCGGGGGACAGAAGGTGTCAGCTCCCGCAGCTATTCCTTTTTCTTGCAAACGCGCGCTCCTGACATCCATAACCCCTCCCTCCCCACCTGCCAAGCACCGCGGCGTCCAGCTCTGGGAACATCCTTCCTGCTGACCCTAGAATGAGGGGCTAAGCGGCCGCCCAGGACCCTGAGGTCTCACCCAGAGCTGCTGTCCCTACCAGCCTCTGGAGTCAGCTCCTGCGCGCGGGCGACAGTCGGAGCAGCCCTAGTGGAGGCGGCGGTTCCCGCCCTGGTAAAGGGCCCCGCGGCGCATGCTAGCCCCGGGAAAAGCCCGCGCCGCCTCCGCGCCCAGCTCTGCCCCGGCCACCTCGCCGCTCTGGCCGCCTCGCCGCTCCGACCCCGCAGCAGCCGCCCCGAGTCCACTAGGTGACCCGGGCGCTGCCCTGGAGCCGGGGGGCGCGCCGGAGGCCGCGTGGGTGCGGGTTTGCGCCGGCTGGAGCCCAGAACCTGGCCCTCGCCCTCCTCCCGCCCCGGCCTCCACCCCCGCCACCCGCGCCCAGCCGGGTCTTACCGCGGGGTCAGCGGGGAGGCGGCGGCGGCCGCAGCGCTTGGGCTGCCGCTGGTCCGCTCTAGGCTCGGCGCCAGCCGGACCACCGGTGCACACTCGCGCCGGTCCCGGCCGAGCGGCCCGGTCGGCGGTGGCCGCTGGTGCGCGGCAGGCGAGGGTCCCGGCAGGTCCCGCCGCCGCGACTGGGGTGCTGCGCCGCCGTCGCTGCAGACGGTTATGGTAATGAGCGGCTCTGTCTAGCGAGGAGCGTGTGAAACCCGTCAATCCTGTTTGCCATTTCCCCGTGGATTTCCGAGGAGAGGTTCTGCAGGATGCCCCCAGGGTGAGAGAGGGAACATGACAAGCGCGCCCGCTCTCCCTCCCTCTCTCTGCTCCCGTCGCCGCCGCCACCGCTCCTCAGGCAGCACACGGGGCGCCTTCCCCTCACCCCCACCCCAGCCCGCCCCCTGCCTCCTTCCCTCCTTCCCGCCCTCCCTCCTCCCTCTCCTCCCCTCCCCTCCCGGTGCCCGGGGACACGCGGGCCCAGCTCCAGCCCGCAACCCAGACCCCACGCGCACTCGGCTCCCGCCCTAACCCTGGGGGCTCGGCTCCAACCGAATAATGTATTCACTCTGCAACCTTCTGAGATGTCTTGTCTTTTTTTATTTGGTTTAGTTTTGTTGTGTGTGCGTGTGATTAAAAAAAAAAAAAACTGTGCCTTTCCCACCCTTTGCAAAAGACTTTCTTCTCCTTTGCCACAGCAAACGGAGATGAGAAACAGATGTCTGTGCAGGACCAAGCAGTTATTCTCCTCTCGCCGCCCGCCCCCGCCCGTTCCCCTCCTGAGCTGCATATGTATAAAAAAGCAACCTAGGTCCTGCTGCAACTTGAATTGGCAACTCTTTCTGGGTGGGGATTCTCTGGTGAAAACCTCCAGGGGAAAAAAAAGTAATAAAGGAAGCTATCCTTGGTCAAAAGAATGTAATTTAAGCTCCAGAATCACACTATTTTGCAAATAGTGGTTTCCCCTATATTGGACTCAATTGGAGTTTGTATTTTTGAAACATTAATTCATAACTTGTGTCTAGGGACCCCTCCATAGTTAAGATGGGTCATTTCAGGTGTAATGAACGCAGGGGCTTGGAATGCATACACCTAATAAAATCGGGGGTGGAGGAGGCACCTGCACAAAAGTGTTACAAGGACTATCGTGTTTGTTTACTGCTACTATGCCAGATGTGCTAAATATAACACTTCTTTAAAACAGTGATCCTCCAACTGTGAAAAGCCAGACCTCTGGCTGCCTGACTCCCTAGGAATCAGGGAGATGCACAGACTGAAAATCGGGAAGGAAAGGAACAAGATCAAGGATGAGGATTAGCATCTGCAAATTGAACTCTATCTAATTTGCATGTTTATTTCTTAGAATTGTAATTAAATTTGTGTAATAAATGTTTTYCATTTCATTTGTATACTTAAAATTTGGGTGACTGACATGCAGTTAAGTGAATTTCCTTTTTCCTTTTTAAAGAAAATGTGGTTTATTCAATAAAGCAGCAAACAAATATTAAGCATAATTAGAACTAATCTGTTTTGAAGGTGTTTTTGTTGAACTTTGTACATTAAAGACACTCAGAGGTTTCAGGGGTATTAGGAAGCTTGGAGGAGGCAATTATGCTGAAAACAGACTAACCCAACAGACTATCAGGAGCATTATTTCATTTTTTCCACAAGACATTCCAGGGTTGGATGCCTAGAATTGGGAACCGGCACCCGTCTTGGCTTTATTTGAAAACTATATCAAATTGCATTGGCTGGTGCATGATGCAGGTCATTACAATGATGATTTTAGAATTGTAAAGATGCCATTTATTTATTTATTTATTTGCAATCAATGAGAGTTGTAGTCCAGGTTAAAGGTAGAATATAATTTCCATTTGGGTCAGGGAGCAGGGCAAGGAAAGGCACAAGGGCATCCAAAGCAGTGTAAGTACTTGAGAATTCTAAATCCGTATGTAAAACTGGTTATCGTCTAACTCCAATGAACTAAATGTGAGGGCTTGGAGGCATGGCTTATTATTGTTTTTATCTCTCTGTATTAAAGTTTTATAGCATTTAAAGGACTATAGGGAAATCCACACACACACTTGGCTGTGTCAAAATACATAAAACCAAAAGGAGCAAATTAAGCATAAAATTGAGAAATAACATGAGACTAAGAATCAGCATGGGTTGCATTGGCATCTTTGGAGCTTTGCTTTGTCTCTGAGAAATGAGCCTTCTGGGAAATTGGCATTGCCCTTGGGTGAAGAGGACTCTTGGCTTTTAATGGTACAACCAAATGGCATCACAACACAAGAATCAAATCATTATGCTTCCCAGTACCCTTGCGGCTCTGGGTGTGAACCTGACCCTGTTTCCTTCAGATATGTCAGGCTAGCATGTCCTACTGCCGGCTTTCCTTGCCTACTTTTAATCTCAAGTTTATTGTTTTCTGAGATTCAGTGCCCAACTGTTGACAATGTGAACCTGTGTCTACAAGTAGAAAAGGCAGCCATATGTCTACGGAATGAGAAACATCATTTAAAAATTTAAGGTAAGTGGCAGCTATGGCTCGAGTAAAGAACTAACTGCCATTCAACAATGAAATATTTGGAATGAGTGAATGCTATTTATGAGGGACACTATTCGACTGAGAACTATGACATCATCATTTTGGGATATATGTGGATATGTGTGTGAGTTTCCAAGATAGACGGTTGATTATAAAACTTAAAATACTTGGAGCTGCAAATTCACTGAAGGCAGTGATTGTTTTTGTACAGTTAACAAACAGAGTGCCAGACTTAAAACTGCTGAAACCCATTTCACAAAATCTTCTACTCATTTGAAAGGGAGATTTTTGCAAGTAAAATCTGACTTATTCAGATTTCTGTGGACACAAACCCTGTTTGGATTAATAAAGCCTGAATTACTGGCTTTAAAAAAAATGCAACTCTTTTTAGAGCAAAAAGAAGCACTGAATTGAATTCCTCTTCTCCCTTCTTCGGACTTTCTCTAATTAGACTTTCTTATCCAATCATTTCATTGAACCTATTCTTGTCATTGTCACCTATCCCTTCCATGTTGCTAAATCCAAAGGTCTTTTCTTGTTTCTGCTCTTTCTTTTTTTTTTTTTTTGTTTTTTAATATTTATTTCTTAGTTCTCGGCGGACACAACATCTTTGTTGGTATGTGGTGCTSAGGATCGAACCCGGGCCGMACGCACACCAGGCGAGCGCGCTACCGCTTGAGCCACATCCCCAGCCTGTTTCTGCTCTTTCTTGACCTGTTATTAGTGTTTGAATCAGTTGTTCAATTCTTCCTTCTTCAAATACCTTTTAAAATGGCTTTCAGGATAACACACTTTTCCTGACTTGACTCTTACTTTACTGGGTGGTCCCTTCCAAGTCTCCTTTGATGATTCTTCCTGGGATCTCAAAATGTCAGTCTCCCTCAAGCTCAGCCCTTGAACTTCATCTCTGCTCTATAGCTCCTCCCTTGTCAATCTGATCCTGTCTCTTGGCTTCAAATATTGTCCAAATCTGATGACTCCTAAATTTATATCTCCAGCCCAGATTCTCTCCTGACCTCCAACTCCATTTAGATGTCTAGTAGGTATCACAAGCTTTGCAGATCTAAAACTCAATCCCTGATTGTCTCTGCCCCCACCAACTTGTGCTATCATTGACATTCTCTATTTGTTAACCATATTGTCATTGTTTTTCCAGTTGGTCAGGCAAAAAGTTTAAACCCATCCTTGACTCTTTTCTCCCTCACACCCTACATCTGACACATCAGAAATTCCTCAAGGAATTTCTTTTAAAGTTTTCTAGACACTGATCATTTCTCAGTATTGCTACTACCATCACCTGTCTAAGCCATCAGCACTGCCTCATGCTTGGGATATTGCAATAGCCTCCTAACTGGTCTTCCTGCTTCAATCTTTGACCCTCTCTACAGTTTAGTCTTGGCTCAAAATTGATGTCACTGATGTTATTTTTTGCTAAGACTCTTCCTAAGGTTCCCTATTTTACTCAAAAGCCAGAACTTTGCAATGGGCTGCAGAGGCTGACATTTCCCTGAATTTCCTTGACCTCACTCTGAGCTGCAGTCACTCCAGTCATTCTGCCTTCTTTCTGTTCCTCCAACATGCCAGGTCTTGCTAGCCTCAGGATGTTTGCACAGGCAGTTTCCTGTGTGGAATGCACTTTCCCAGATAACTGTGTAGTCCAATGCTCACCTCTTCCACATCCTGCTCAAATATCACTTTCTTAACAAGTCCTGACCACACTGCTTAAAATGTGAACACTTCAACTCTATATCCTGCTTTATTTTTATCCAGAAGATTGATTAATAAGCTCTGTTTTATGTATATAGTCTATTTACCACTTCTCTCTTTCTGCTAGGAAGTGAGATCCATATGGCAGATATTTTAATGTTGTTTTTTTTTTAATTTACCCCTGTCTAAATCTTCATTGCCTAGTACACCAAAGACAATAAATACGTGTGTTGATTGATTGAGGATTTGACTGAAGGTTGTTTCACATATGTACAGAAACCCAACAAGGCTAAAATAGAGCTATTCTAGTGCATGAAGAATGGTGAAGCAGACAGTTTATTTTGTTACCAACTCATTTGCCTCTTGTAGAATTCTTTGCTTCCGTGTTCTCATCCATCTGCAGCATTTCAAGACCTGAGGATACTACCAGCGTCCTTAGCACCCAATGGTCTCATGCTGCCCTGCCTGCCGGAGAGTCTCCAATACAATGTCATCAAGTGGGTGCTGGTGCTCTGGACCAGCCCTCCTTTCTCCCAACTCAGATTTCCATCATCACCCAGATGCTTCTCCTAAGCTACAATCTTAGACAAAATTACAAAGTATGTGAAGTTGCTCTCCAGGACCCTATAGTGTTACTTCTTGGCAAAGCCACCTTTGCAGAAGCCCAGAACTCCTCCACTTTCTCACCTTCCTTCAAAACTCACTCAGAAATGCTTCAATAATTACATGCCTCATATATGCAAGAATTGAGCTAGGCAAGACGGGTAAAGTAGAAATGAGTAAGGCACTGTTCCTAGACTTATGGGGTTGTCCATATGGTGAGCTACAAAGACAAGCATAGAATTAGTGGTACTATTTAGTAACTCAGGGCATAGTAGGAACCATGGGATACCAGTGATGGACAATCACATTCTCAGTGGGATGATCCAGAAAGACTTAGATCTAAGAAAGTAAAATCTAAGAAGTTGACCTTGAAGATAGGTAGCTCTCAATATGTAGAAATGGGCAATGAGTGAAAAGTATTCCAAGCAGAAGAAACAACTGGAGGAAAGATATGTAAGTTGGAAAGCAAAAGGTACTTTTAGAGAAGAGTGAGTGATCCGGTTTTACTAGAGGGCATGGGAAAGTAGAAGGTAGATGAAGCTGTATCATAATAGACACTGAAAAACAAAATGAGCTTGATTTTTATTCAATAAGCAATGAGTTCATTAAAGATCCTTGAACTAGGGGATGACATAGTCAAAGCCAAGTTTAAGGATGAGTGAGGTCCAATGGAAAATGGTATTGGGAATAACAATCAGAAAGCTCTTTTGGCCGCCAAGAGAGGAAAAATGTGGTTCTGCATTAGAGTGCAGGTCTCTGAGTGAGAAGAAGACAGCTGAGATGCCACAGGTGTGAGACTCTTGGACATGTGGGAGATGGAATGTTTGGGCTATACTTAACTGTGGGAAAGAGGAGTAGAAAGTGACTCTGAGGTTGCTGGTTGAGTTACTGTGTGGTCAAGAAACAGGTTTGAAGGGAATAGGATGTGCTGGTTCTGGGTATGTTGAATGTGAGGTGTTTATGGAACAGACAGATGGAGCATCCAATAGACATCTGAATGTCCTGGTCTAGCTGAGGCAGAATAAGAGAGCAAATTATAGAACCGTATCATTATTTTAATATATATTGAAGCTGAAGCCTTAGAACTTGGTGCAGTGGTTGAAGACATTGTCAAGACCCCAAGAGTGAAAGAGTTACATCACTACTTTAAACAATCTATTAAATGCATTTATTTAGAGGTGAAAACAACATTTGTGGGCTAGATATATGAGTTATTTCAGTATTATCTGTAGTTAATAGTGTACATCCTTTGGCTTAAATTTAAAGGAAGAAATTAGGGATTTTAGTACCAGTTTTAGTACCAGGAGTCTCTCCAAACTGCCTTGAAAGCATAACACAGAGGTAATTTTATGACATGTTTCTGCATGTGGCTGAATTTACTTATGTGCCATCATAGGTGGAAAGTGATTTGTTTCATCAGATAATTCTGAAATAATCCCTGAAAAGATGTTCATTATTGATCATGAGCTCCGAGTGTTATCTCTCTTAGGGATATTTGCATTTTAATAGGAGTATCATAACTTTAATCAAAGCAATTAATAATTAATGACATGATTTCAGATGTAATACAAGTCAGTAAGTATTATTTCTTAATGGAAATTCCATAACACATATCGTCCTTGCTCAGGGTACTATTTGGGGGGACCTACACTGGTGAATAGCT